GAGAGAGAAAAGCAGGTGATTTAGAGAAGAAGGGAGATATATGTAGGGGGGAGAGACATGCTAATTAGGCATTGATACCAGAAGCTGCATTGTTGCCTTCTGGGACCTTTATTTTTGAAAAATAAGCTTAAGCCTGAGCTTCCTCAAAGTTACTCTATGGGACTTTTATTTTGAAAAATAAGCTTAAGCCTGAGCTTCCTCAAAATTACTCTGTGGGACTTTTATTTTGAAAAATAAGCTTAAGCCTGAGCTTCCTCAAAGTATAAAGTTACTCTGTGGGACTTTTATTTTGAAAAATAAGCTTAAGCCTGAGCTTCCTTAAAGTATAAAGTTACTCTATAGGATTTTTATTTTGAAAAATAAACTTAAACCTGAGCTTCCTTAAAGTATAAAGTTACTCTGTGGGACTTTTATTTAGAAAATAAGCTTAAACCTGAGCTATCTCAAAGTATAAAAAACTCTGTGGGACTTTTATGTTGAAAATAAGCTTAAGCCTGAGCTTCCTCAAAGTATAAAGTTAATCTAGTCTAGGGGAGTTTTATTTTGAAAAATATGACTTTTCCTGATCTTCCAGCAAGGACACCATACAACCATGGGGGTATTATTTTTGAAAAACAAGCCTCTTCCTAAGCTTCCTGTAAGGTTTTGGTGAGTCTATGGGGCTTTTATTTTGAAAAACATTCCTCTTTCTGAGCTTCCTGTAAAGACACAGCCATCTATTGGGATTTTTATTTTGAAAACATGCACCTTCCTGAGCTTCCTTGAAGGATATAGTAACTTTATGTGGCTTTTATTTCGAAAAACATATCTCTTTCTGCGCTACGCGAAGGGATAGTAACTCTATGGGGCTTTTAATCTGAAAAACACGTCACTTTCTGTTAAAAAAAAATCCCTTTTAAACTTCCTGTAGAAATACAGTAACTTAGTTTTTTGGTTTCCTGAGCTTTCTATAAGGAAACAGGACCTTTATTTTGAAGGTGTGATCGGAAAGGGCACTGCTGACTCTACAGAATAATAGACTGCGTGTCGTTCGGCAGTCACACATAATTAAGGAGAAAAGGGAGAAGGGGAATAATCCAATTGCTGCCTTGAGGCCTTGATATCAATAAAAGTGTCAGAGAGGAGAAATGCCCGGCAAGCAGAGCATTAATATAAATTAAAGATTGGAATGTGATTAAAATGTAAAGTAGGCAGTGGAGACAGAGAGAGTTAGTAGTTACCTGCGTAGATCTCAGGTGCGTACATGGCTCCCATCATAGGACTCAATTTCCACCCCGCTGACATTCACAAAGAGAGAGCATCGTTAAAATGGGCAGTTTGGAAAGAGCACAGTATTTATCATTTACACACACTTTTCTCTACACCCACAATGCAGTTTTCTTTGGCCCTATTTCGATGGTTTTCATCGTTCACCAGCTACTTCAAAAGCCAGTTTAATCACGGCGACAGAAGAGGAGATACGGGATGAGCGCCTCAGAGCAGCGATGCTTTAAAATATGGATTTTGATTGAGGCTGAGCGCTTCCTCTTCTTCATTACACAGATTCCCTCAGCCACACTAACTCTGAAGCTCTTCCAGGTGGTATGCAAAGCAGGGAGGCACGGATACACACGTAGTATTGGCAAGAGGATATTTGAACCACTCTTTTTAGCATTTCTAAGCAACATTTAATTAGGATTTTATTGTATTAGAAGTGAAACTAGCTTAATAAAACGGTATATATTAATACCAACTATAGCTGTGTGCAAGTACATTGTAGTCTGTTATACACAAGCTAAATAGGGGGACTTTAAGACATGATTATGAATACAAGTCATACATGTCAGTGAAGTCATTATCTATCACTGAATGAAGAAGAACAATGGTCAATTAGTGAATAACACATTGCAATATAATACAGGCTTCGCTTTCAATAAAACAACAATAGTTCGTTAATATTTTTCCAAATTGAACTGCAGTGCTGCACGGAAGCTCCTAAGACTAGATCTGACAGGAAATCATCATAGTATCGTATTGGAAATGAACATTCGAAGCAATAGATGGATGGATAATCTGAGCTCAATTTGAGAGTGAACCGTCGTCATGGCTGGTAGGTGGTGTTAAAAATAATCAAATCTAAAATAAACTCCTTGATATTGTGTTTGCTGACGGCCTTACATAATGTGGTCTGCAGCTGCGGGAGGAAACACTGATTGTGTGTTTTTCATCTGCCTCTCGCTGTGAACCTGATGCTGTTTGGATTAATAGTGTGTGTGTGTGTGTGTGTGTGTGTGTGTGTGTGTGTGTGTGTGTGTGTGTGTGTGTGTGTGTGTGTGTGTGGCCTAGCATTACTATACTTGTGGGGACCTAAATCTGTTTACAGTCACATGTGGGGACTCGCCTCCCTTATGGGGACATAATGGAGTATTCATTTTAGGGTGAAGACTTGGTTAGGTTAAGGGTTAGGCATGTGTTGGTTATGGTTAAGGTTAGGAGAAGTCTGTAGGAAATGCACGTAAGTCAATGTAATGTCCCCTGAAATGATGTATACATGGTGTGTGTGTGTGTGTGTGTGTGTGTGTGTGTGTGTGTGTGTGTGTGTGTGTGTGTGCGTGTGTGCGTGTGTGTGCATGCGTGCGTGCATTACCGTTACCGTAGGGCAGCGCGCTGAGGGCCGCCTCTCCATTAGGAAACGGGCTGACCATTTTCTTGTTGGTCATCACCCGGGCTGTGGCATTGTTCACCTGAAAGAGGAGAGGACGGTTAAACACCAGAAAACTCAACAAATAACAACTAAATAACGCAAAGGGCTAGGTCACAAGGCTGAAGTGTGTGTGTGTGTGTGTGTTTAAAAGTAATAATATATTAACCGTGTTTGCTAACATGTGCTCGTAGTGTGATTGTCTTTATTTTGTATATTTCTTGGTACACTCACATATTATACTTGTACAAACATATTTTAATATTTTATCTGTTATTTCACATTTTAATTGTATTTTTATGTTAATATTATTATATTTTATTGCACTTTTTACTTGAACTTCTTATGTTTAAATAAATATTATTATTATATTTTTGTTTATTCCACATTTTACTTAACATTTTAACTTTGCTTCTTATTTTTATAAATATATAGTTAATGTATTTGATTTGATCATTTATAGTAGTTTCATTTTAACTTCTTATGTTTTAATTTATATATTATTTTGGTCCATTTTATTATTTTATTCTATATTATTGCACATTTCATTTTTGAGTTTTTTTCTTTTAAATACATTTTTGTAATTTATTTTTGCTCTAAAAAAACTGTCACAAAACCCTAATTTTCCCCATTTCCCATCAGTTGTATGACATGCCTGCTCCTATATAAACCTATAAAGCAGAATATGTAGTTTTTTTAAAAGACACATGTAACATCTAAGATGGCTGCTAGCTCGTTTGTTGTTCTGTGTTTGTGTGTTAAAGTGGGTCGGGCTGTTAGGGGGGGTTTTAGTCCTCATGCAATTAAGAAGCGAGTTGCCCATCAGAGATCTGATGATTCATTGTGGGCAGATATTAATGTGGCCACGGGGGACTCTGGTTATATTGCAGCCGTAAATTGCAGCAAAAGAAACGCCGCTGTACTTTTATTATTTTGCATGCTCAGGTGTTTTATTTATATTTGATTTTTTAGGTGCGTGTGCGTCTTCTACGCCTGACATTTCAGTCTAATGCTCAGGCTTTCAATCCAAGATGGCCGATAATCTCCTCTCTGAGCTTCAAAGGCTCCCTTGATCTTCCTTTGATGGGTTTTAAGAGAAGGAGATTGTAGCTCTGTGTAAAGAGCCGTACTGTCGCAGTGTTGAAGCTCTACATCCGAGTGTGGAGAGAGATTAATGACCTTTTTGGCTCGATGAGGGGAGAGTGTGTGAGAGGAATGAGGAATGAGAACACACACACACACACACACACACACACACCTGTCACTGAGTTAATCCCTGCTGACTCTGAGAAGGTCCTGTACACATAGTTTAAAAGGGGTGTGTGTGTGTGTGTGTGTGTGTGTGTGTGTGTGTGTGTGTGTGTGTGTGTGTGTGTGTGTGTGTGTGTGTGTGTGTGTGTGTGTGAGAGACCTGGGTCAGTGCATCATGATTGGTGTAACAGG